GAATTTTTTATTTTACCAACTATAAACACATATCAAAAACACTATATTACATCACCTACCTTTATTAAATCTATTCTTAAAGAATCTTACGTATGTTTATCTACTACAACACAGGTTTATGCAAAAACATCCCAAAAACAACATGTGGACAGTCACCAAACATAAATAATGCATACACACACACACTTAACGAATATATATTATCATATGAATACCACATAGACAAACAAGAATTATGATATAGTTACATACATAAAGCAATATTTACATTTTTTCAGTTAGGCTTGGAATCTTTTCATAGATGAAGAAGAGACTTGAAGCAACAGAAATGTGGTTCAGCAGAAAGATGCCAAAAATACTATGTACTGAACATGTAAGCAATGACAGTTTTAAAAAAAATGATACTTATACTGAAAATCAGAAAAAGATAGTTGAAATTTCTAGGGCACCTAATGAGGAAAGAGGACTTTGAAAATTTGATACTCTGACAGACTGAAGGTAAGAGGAAAACTATGTATAACCTACCTAGTGAGCTTGTGTAGATGGATGACTGAACAGAGTTTAGGAGAGATGACAAAAAGACAAAATTTATTAAGAGCTACAAAGGACAGGAAACTGTGGAGAGCCCTGATCGCCAATGTCCTGAAGGGACACAACACATAGAAAAAGAACTCTGTCTTAGTAAACATTAGGCAAACACATGATTATTTCCTTAAACTTTCCCTCCAGCATAGGGCTTATTTAATACAGCCTGCTTATTACTTTTTAATTATTTTGTTCCATGTACTTATGTAAAAATTCATGACTGAACATTTATTTTAACCAGCACACTTATTTCATAAATTGAAAATTTCTCACTGGCATTTTTTGTTTTGTTTTATGGCATATCAACCTCAATGGGTTATTTAATGCTGACAAATTTTTTTATTGCCAGAAATATTTCTTTTTAAAAAAATCTATTGCTGGTAATATTTTTTTTTCATCAAAAATCTATTGCTGGTAATATTTTTTCTTCAAAACCTATTCCTGTTAATATTTTTTTCTTCAAAAATCAATTACTGCTAATATTTTTTTTAAAATATATAGCTGGTAATATTTTTTTTAAAATAATGTATTGCTGGTAATAATGTATTTTTGGTAATAATTTTTTACAAAAAAGTATTTCTGGTATTAAAACCTATTTTTACACTTTCATAGTGTTTTGACTTCAGTTTGGGGGTTAACTATTTACCCATAGCTAGGACCCTAAGAGGTGCTACCACCCCAGGTCAGGGTGAACCTGGGAACACCAGCAATTAAGAGGTGGTTCCATGCTCCTCAAAACCTTCTTGCTGTTGGATGTAGTTTATCGTCTTACCCAGGACACTTCACTGGCATGGCTATTCCAGACAACACTTGTATTTGTTACAAAGAGTACTGTAAATTTGCATATCTGGGGAATATTAACAAGTCAATTTTTTTATGGAATCTAATACTGCATAGCATCAAGAAAACTGACCACTGTGGTTATAAAAGACTTGCACAATGCTTAAAATGTTTTACTGGTTGAATTAAACTCATTTTGAATTATTTATTTCTGGGATTTGAAGACTCCATTCACACTTTGTGTAAACCTAACAGCTCATGGCATAAAAAGAGATAAAAAAAAAAACAAGAAGAGCAAGAATAAAGAAAGGAATAGTGCCTGAAAGAATCTTTGAATCCTTTGATTCTTCTTATAGGCTCTGGGTTGCTTCTTATTCAATAGTTAAAGAACATAGAATTATAAGATAAGAAACTGTTGATTTATACCAGTTTTTCTCAACCTTTTTAAGCAACAGCACACCTAGGAGCAAATTAAAATATCACAGCACACTTAGCAAAATTTTTAAAGTGTATACATTTATGAAATAAAACCATAGGTTTTAAAAAATACAAACACAAATATGAACTTTATTTCAATGTTTCTATTCAAATATTTGTGCAGTTTATTTAATGTGAAACCTGTGCTTTGTGTTTTTTTTTGTGATTTCTTCAATGTTTGGTCAAATGTGTGATAAGCAAACCCTCATTTCTTCTTCAGTTGAGCATAGTCTTTCTCACTTCTTATTTTTGGTGTTATTTAGAGTTGAGAATCCTAATTCACTAAATAAGCAGAAAATTGCAATGAAACTGATAAAGCCTTTTTGGTTAATATGGGGTATTCCTTTTGTATTGAAATCCAAATTGTATCATTGGGTAATAAGCAGACCTTCATTTCTTCTTCAGTTGAGTGTAGTCTTTCTTGCTTCTTATTTTTGATGTTATTTACAGTTGAGAAGCCTAATTCACATAAATAAGAAGAAGAAAATTGCAATAAAATTGATAAAGCCTTTTTAGCTAATGTGGGATATTCCTTTTGTATTGAAATCCAAAACATATCAATAGGTACCACTGAATGTTTTATTTTGAGCCTTAAAAAAATAAAAATACTTTTAAAAACTGAATTAAAAAACAAAGTATTTAAAATAATGTAATGGAAGAATAGTGAAAAGAATTATTTGAAAAAAAGTTTAATATCTATTCATTTATTCAAATATTAATGCTGTACAATTACTACTTACACACACATATATATATATATATATATATATATATATATATATATATATATATGTATGTATACAATGCTGTGACAATATTGCGTGGCACACTTAAGGATCGCGCGGCGCACTAGTGTGCCGCAGTATGACGACTGAGAATCACTGATTTATTGAAAATACAGACCCCCTTCTGTTTTACAAAAACAAAAAAACAAATTAGTAGTTCAATCAGAATACAGAATTCTTCCCGTTAGAGGTCAATAAAAAAACTCACTAATTTTTAGTTTAGAAATACAGTCGACAATAATGTCAATATGTTAAGTTCTTTACCAGGTGAGTCACATTAACACTCCCATAAGCAATAGCATATGACATAATCGTTTTCAGGAGGTGATATTATTGCAGATTTAGAATGTCCTAGATGGAATCTCATCAAATTGGTGTTAGATTGCATCCGAGTCGATCTGAATGTAGTTCAGGCGGAAGTAGATTAAGTTAACATGTGAAAGACTGAATCCAGACTCAGATTTTCGCCTACAGTGACAAAAAATAGATAGGCCAGTTAGTTAATATTTATGGCTGACATATCCACAACAGCAATACTCTTCGAACACGCTTAAAGAGAAAGATGGAGAGAGAGAAATGTAAATCTAATCATCTGGGGGGAAAATTTCAGGTTGTTGGACACCCCACTGTAGACGTTTCTATTTTTATATAAATGTTGTAATTTTTTCTCTCGATAAAAGCGTCCTCCCACTATCGTTATTTTTCTGTTTTATAACGACTCAGCTAATTTTTTATATATATATATATATATATATATATATATATATATATATATATATATATATATATATTGTTGTTGTTCCAGTAATGAATGTATCAGGTGAGTGATGACGTTAGAACGCATAAAGTTATTATACGGCAAAAACAAAACATTAAGGAAAAAAATATTTATACTGCACAATACGAGGGTGTTAATGTAATTATTAATTTTAAGCGTTTAGAGGCGGCTTCTAAATGAATAGTGTACCACCCGACAATAATAAATAAATAAATGATTAAATGGAATTGCTTTTTTAAGTGTCCGGTAACCGGCGACTTTTGATTTCGTTCTGGCTGGCCATTTTTCTATCGGGGGCAGGAAGACGATCGACACCGTTTCTGAAAGTATTATGGGTAGCGTGTTCGACCTTTTGCTAGAGAAAAGCCAAAAAGATATTTCTTTTGGTTGCATTCGACTCATCCTCCTTTAAGCAAACACACTGTACTCAACTTCACTCCCAAACAGTTCACATCTCTTCAGGCGATCACTTAAACAATGGGACTCTTCAATTCAAAGTCACTTTTTCGGAAAATTTAATTAATGTGGAATTAGCGGAGAGAGACAGTCATACATACACACACACACACACACACACTGAAGAAAATCTCGACATTTGATATATTTTACCACAATTATTACATACAACAAAACAAGTAAGAGGAGAACATGAGAAGGATTTTTTCTTCATTTTATGTTGTTTTGCTTGCTTTTTACGCTTCTGCATTTGTTTGTTATTTTCTTTTTAAATCACAGACATATTAGAATAGTTTTACGTTTGTGTTAAATTCTACTTATTTTATTTGTCTGAAAAATTATGACCTCGTCTTCTTCCGAAAACATTCCCAGTCGCAAGTCTACAAACTAAATTGATAATTAGTAGCTCTATCTTCTAAATAATGTCATTACTTTAATCAGAAACAATTTCCTTTTTTTTTTTCTTTGTTTTTTGTTTTTGTAAAATTATTAGATCTTTTTATTTAACACTGTTTAATTTAAATTTATAAACATAGCGCATTTATTAGTTTATTTTTGTTTTAAATAATACTTGTCCTATTTTTACTCTTGTCTTTCTACGTTTCTTTAAGTTTTGATTTTAAATGTCTACATTTCTTTGTACGCATTATCTTTAGAGAAACAATATACACATGCACTAAAAGAAATTTTTTTTTTTTTTCTCTTTTACACCTGCTCTGTTTACTTCTGTTCACAAGCCATAAGATTTCTTTTTATTCTCTTTCTCTCTCCATAACAGACGATAACTTTGTTCTTCCATACATGTTGAAGTTTCTAAACATGGAGAAGACGATTTCAATGGCAAAAATGAAGAATTATTCTGATATAACAGACGGTGAATGCGTGTTTACTCAACCTTTTTGACAGCTATATAGACTTATTAAAAAAAAAAAATTTTAAATCTGCTTTTCCCTACTTTTAAGCTTTCAGGCTACTAAGTAGTACAACTCCACAATAAACAATTTTGATAACAGCAGAAACAGGAACTACTTAATAAAAAATAAAATAAAAACTAAAGAACAGTTTTAACTTTAAATCTTTCTTTTTATTTCCACAGACATATACCTGTCTACACAGTCTTTTTCTCCTTTTACTGTCCGATGTGCGACACGGATTTTTATCAAATCCCTAAAGATATCAACGAAGTAGTGTACTCGCAGGTCAATGACCACAGCGGCCAATACAACGTGAGAATGCCCTCTGTAGCACAGGCCGATTATAGTATCCGTGATGTCTGGCAGAGTAATTTGGAGCAAGAATTCCGAACCATCCGTCAGATTGTTCAGTCATATAAGTATGTTGCTATGGATACTGAATTTCCTGGGGTGGTTGCCAGGCCAATAGGAGAATTTCGAAGCAACGCAGACTACCATTATCAACAGCTTCGTTGCAATGTGGATTTGCTTAAAATCATCCAGGTTGGTATGACATTCCTTGACGAGTATGGACACACTCCAACCCCGATATCTACTTGGCAGTTCAATTTTAAGTTTAATCTTACTGAGGACATGTATGCCCAGGAGTCAATCGACCTCCTCACCAACTCAGGGATCCAGTTCAAGAAGCATGAAGAGGAAGGCATCAACACAGACGATTTTGCCGAGTTACTTATGACGTCTGGTGTCGTCCTGACAGATGAGGTAAAGTGGCTCTCCTTTCATAGTGGTTATGACTTTGGCTACATGCTGAAAATCCTGACCAACAGTAACCTGCCAGCTGAAGAAGCGGATTTTTTTGAACTCTTGCGAATTTACTTTCCTAATATCTACGATGTCAAGTACTTAATGAAAAGCTGCAAGAACCTTAAGGGTGGCCTGCAGGAAGTGGCACAGCAACTGGAAATTCCTCGCGTCGGGCCTCAACACCAAGCCGGCAGCGACAGTCTTCTTACTGGCGCCGCCTTCTTTAACATGCGCGAGATGTTTTTTGAGGATAATATAGATGATGCCAAGTACTGTGGCCACTTGTATGGCCTTGGGAGTAACTATATAATGAACGGAAGCAGCAACTATGAAAATCATGTTTCTCAGACAAATTCGTCTGTAGCACCCAACAATGATGAAGCAGGCCCAAGCCATTCTAACTCTTCCTAAATCCACCATGCAGACACACATATATATATATATATATATATATATACACTTGTGTGCATATGTGTGTAAGTATATGTATAGATGGATGCCTGAATAGATGTGTGTGTGTGTGAATCTATATGTACATTCCCCCCCTCCTGCTGACCAGGCTGATGCTTGAAGTTGTTTTTATAATTCTGCAATGTATACCAATAATGAAGAACTTTATTAGCCAAGGTATAGTGTAATTTATTGAGATCTATATAATCTCAATAAATTACATTTTATACACACACACACACATGTGTGTGTGTGTATATATATATATATATATATATATATATATATATATATATATATATATATATATATAATGTGAAATTGATAACATTTGAATCTTATTTCAGTATACCTGTTTTTTGTTTTAAACCTTACAAAACTTATCCTGATGACTCAGCAATTTATCAAGGCAAATTTAAATTTAACACTAAACCAACAGAAGCATTTCTGCCTGCTCAATCTCCAAAGATTCTTTTGATAACAGTAATAAGTATTAGTAGTTTACTATTACTGTAAATTCTGTTGACTGAATTGCTTTTATTAAAAAAATGTCCTATAGCCTATTGATGTAAGCTACCTTAATGCCAGCAACTGTTTAATATATATATATATATATATATATATATATATATATATAAAATATAAATGTACTTACCTGTTTGCTTCACTGAGGTGTTGATCGGCTGTTTTTTTTTTTTGTATATTTGTAAAATCTGTGATACCCAACTGACTGTAAAATCTGCAGTCCTTGGATGTATGTTGTGATTGAACTTGCTGGTATCAAGTGTTAAAAAATATTCTTTTAATTGTATGAAGGCAGAAACAAAGTCAACTTTTTTTTTTTTTTTTTTTCCTTTTTTAAATGCCTCAATTACTGAACTGTTTAATCAGTTGTATTCCCCCTCCCCACCTCAATGCTCAAGACTTGTACGAGACACACTCAGTTCAGTCTATGCTTTGGTGGTAATCAAGCTGTTACTGCATTTGACTTGCTGTAAGACTTTACATTCAGTATACATCTACTAAAAAAAAAAAAAAATCTGTATTTCCTATACATGTAAGTTCTTGATTTGCTGAAGATGCTTCCCCCCCCCCATCAAAACTTAATACTTGCTGAGTTTTTTTTACCTTTTCCAATTTTAATAGCCTTCATAGAGGAGGGAAAAAAAGTCTTCATTTTAATGTTAAAACCTGCTGGCTATAGTTGCTTCAAATTTGGTCAGAGACGGAATTTGAAAGTGTCTTTATAGTGCTATTTCTGAGATGTACACACACATACACAGCTTTGCTGGTGTGAACCACTTTGATGTCTTTCTCATAACTGTCTTCTTGAGGACCCTGAAGACAATTTATCAGTAAATTTGAAGAAACAAAAAAAATAAATTTAAAGGAAAAAAAAAAAAAGCAAAGCTAAAAACTGAGCTTTCTTCTACCCACAACCTCCTGTGCAATCTAACTGAAATCCAATTCCATGTGAGTGGTGATGAGACTGCTTTAAATGCACTCTTTATTTATTTTTCCTTCACACTGCTGGAAATGATAAAACTTCTCCCACCCTGCCCCAATCCAATCATTTTTATTAGGCTTTTTAAAACACTTTCTATCCCCATCCCTAACCTGAAAGAGAAAAAAAAATGAAGGAAAAAGAAACTTACTGTCTGGAATTTGTGTGTATGAATTGTAATGATTCTTATGAAAATAAAATTTTGTGTGTGATAATGATATATATATATATATATATATATATATATATATATATATATATATATATATATATATATATATATATATAATAAAAGCAAGCAATTATAGAGAAGTGTGATGCCTTACGTTCCATCTGTATTCTTACCCATTTCTGTTGGTAAATTCAATGAATAAAAAATAACCTTTTTATTCATTCATATACATAAATTTTACTTAATGAAACTAAAAAAGAAAAAAAGATTTGTTACAAAGTTCACTTCCTGTTTGTTTAATTGTAAATTAAATTTCCCAAATAACCAGATTGTAATTAATTTTATCTTTCCCCCACTCCATTTGATTTACATAGAGTAGTTTTTAAAATCCTTTCCATTCTGTGACTTGAAAGTTACTTTAAAAGAAGTAAACAAATAAAAAGTAACGAAGCCCTCAGCCTTACAATTAAGCTCTTTCATTGAGTTAAGCCCAAGCAAATTTAATAAATACCAAAATAATATATTTAAATGGGATTGGGAGAGCATCGTGTCGACAATTCTGAGAAGTAGTGTGACTAGTTCTGTTTGTATGAACATTATGTATGTATGTATGTATGTATATTTATATATGTAAAAGGACACTGAATAAAAACAAAAGGAAAATTTTTCTTTATTGATATGTTTCATCCTCTGATAGACTTTATCAAGGCAAATGTGAAGATTTTACTTTGCAACAAGTATTTATAAACAAAATTAAAAGTGCTTTTAGTTTTTCAAAATTTTAATATTTGAGACTCATAAACATTTAATCAGGTTAAGTGAAAAGCCTAGGTAAATTATGGAGGATGATATGTGATGTAATTTAATGTCTAAGAAACAAAAGTGAGTAAATGTTGAAATTTTTTTTTTTTTTTTTTTTTTTTAGACATTAAATTATGTCGCTTGGCATCCTCCATAATTTACCTAAACTTTTCACTTAACCTGATGAATATTTATGATTGTCTCTTAAATTAAGAAAATTTTGAAAAATTAACATTTTTACTTCTGTTTATAAATACTTCTTGCAAAATAAAATCCTTACACTTGCCTTGATAAAATACAGAGGACAAAAAGTGTCAGCTAATTTTTCTTTTGTCTTTATTTTCACACACAGTAAATAAGCCTGGGGCAAATGTCTTACACTCCATGTCCTCTGCATTTAGTCCATTTGTGTGCTTATAAAACTCTGCCACTCGTGTATGTGACAAGCTGGCTGTGGATTGAATTCTGCTGGTGAACAGTTTCTTTAATGTTCACGTGTTTGTTTTTTTTTTTTTTTTCCTGAAATCTCATATCCAGCAATGTAAATGGCATAAGAGAGATCTTTTATAAATGGTCTAAAGAAGTTCAGTTCCAATTCCTTTTAGGGAACCAGGCTGTTTTTAAAAGTTGATTGAATTTCCTACCTGCCCCTTACAAAGTTTCAACCCCATAAGGGTTTGATACCATGTTTAATAACTAGTATCAACTGAGGATGACTTGAATAGATGCAATTTTCACTGTTTTAATTTCAAGTTTCTTTGTAAACCTCTCTTGTCCTGTATTCACTTCAACAGCTTGTTGATGTCCCCCAAGTTTTAACAAGACAAATGAATATATACACATTTGTAATATCTATCGTTTTTTTTTTTTTTTTTTTTTTTTTTTTTTTTTTTTTTTTTTTTTAAATTACTTGAAATTATAATAAAACAAGTGATCCCACCTCTTCCTACTCACATAATTAAGGCTGTTATCTATTTTAAAAATTTAATTACCTTTGAGTGACTTTGTTACTGATAATGTAACAGGAATATACTTATTTATTTGTTGGGTGTGAGAGATGTATGGAAGGTGGCCCCAAAACTAAAATTGCAGTTGCTGACAAGATCTGGACGGTCAGAGAATTATAGACTGGTCCATTTGTATATAAAAAAAAATTTTTTTTTTTTTTTTTTTTTTTTGTGTGTAATTTAGAAGGGGGGGGACACTGTTTATAATATGGATATAGTGTAAAATTGATCCCTGTCTTTTACAGAGTTATTTGGGGAAAAATATAAATTTATTTCTGTTAAATAAATGGATATACACTTTTATGTTTTTTATTTTTTTTTTTTTTTTTTTAATTAGAGAATATAAATAAAATTATGTATCTGTTTATTCTTCATTTAAGATATGTAATTATTAACTGCAAATGTTTGAGCATGTGCTTCCAAAAAATCCCATACAAAAAATATTTTAATATTAAGTCCAATAACTCTGCAAAAAGCAGGGATTGATTTTGCACTATATCTATATGAACAGGACTCTCTTTTAAATTTAAAAAAAAAAAAAAATTCAGAATTTTTCGATTCTGATGTCGCGACCTAAGGAAAGTCTGAAATATGCTAATATACAAAACGTAAAAGAAATTTTCCCATTTTTATGAGTGGACCAGTCCATTTAATCAGCACCAAGAAGTGATTCAATCCTGCAAATTTTTGGATTTGTTTCCTATAAAGGCCCACAGATTCTTGTAGCCAATCTATGAGGCTCATATGGACCTGATAAATTCTATTGCTGTCAAGGATTTCATGAAATGTTGAATTGCTTCAAGATACTGATGTTGCAAGAAACTGTTTGAGATATAAATGAATCAAATTATTCCTTTCTAAAAACTGTATGTATGAGTATAAACCTACTTTTGGGCACCCTGATAGGGAGATATATATATAAGATGTGTGGAAGATTAAATTTTAATTGTAGAATTTAACCCATTTTGCTTTGTACATTCAATTGTTTCTTGATTAATTCCAATTTTTAAGTTTTGTTTTACTTTTTGCCCATACTATGAGGATGGATTTCAGTGGTATTTGTAGATTATCAAGATTGTAAAAAAAATAAAAAAATAAAAATTTTTTTTTTTTTTTTACTTTTTGTGCACTTTAGGATTTGTTCTATTAAAATGCAATCTTTCAGCTTTTTGTTAAAACAAAAATTATAAAGCAAAACATTTTTTAATTTATTAATGATTGTATTTAAAAAAAAATTCTTTGGGTTTAAAAAAAAAAAAAAAAAAGTATAAATTTGTATTAATACATCCTAAAGATTTTTTTTTTTTTTTTTTTCTTTTTCTCAACCTTTGAAATACAAGGTGTGACAGTAAAGTCCCAGGACTGATAACTTTTTTTTTTTTTTTTTGATCAGATAGATTATTTGTTTTTTCTTCCAAAGAATATAACATTTTGATCAGTCAAGTAGCCAATAATGTTATTTGTCTATCTTATAAAA